TTATGGCACGCCCGGCATTCCGAGAATTTAGCATGCCGGGCATGTCAGAAAATTTGGCATGCCCGGCATGCCGGAGATTTTGCTGGGTATGAATTACTTATTACTAAAACCTAGGCTTCTCGCGGCCTGGGTGAGAAGGTCACAGAACCTCAAATTATGCTTACAGGGCATGCGAAATTCTGTTGCATGCCAATTTCAATGCAAAACCACTCTGGGGCCACCCCCTCTATTACCAGTGAGCAAATCATTGACGATAGGCATGCGAAAAATCCTTGCATGCTAACCAACAATGAAAACATAGCAGAAATGTCCTCAATTGCTGAGTCACGCCCTAGGGGAGGCTTTAAAATACAGAATTTCCTGACATGGATGAGGGAATTTTCCGTAAACAGCATGTGATCATGCCGGCTAGGACGTATTGCCTCCATATTGCCCCTTTTTACAGCTAACTAGGCTCATTTTTAGGTTCCATGGCCTGAAATGACGAAAAATTCATGCCCTAAATGTAAAAAGTCCCAAAATGTCCTCGAAATTTTAGTTTCCAAGCCATTTTTATAAATTAGAAAGTCTTCCTGGAGAAAACATGATTTGCTTTATCTTCTCGTTAAAAAAATAATAGTAGAATAACTTCCAGGTGTCCAAGCAATTTCAAGGGACCCATAGAGTCTTCTTTCTCTGCTGCATTGAGCTGTGAACAAAGGCCGTTCTTTCTAGTGGCCCGGCTTTTATCAGAAATATTGTTGTCCTACGTGAAGAGTGATCGCTTAAACAAGTCCAAAGTTGAATCCGGTAAACCGGCCAAAACGCGAGCATCGCAGGGAACGAATCCCATAGGAATAGGTGAAAAAGGATAATAAAAAGTCTAGGCTATTCTAATATATAGATTTAGCCAGGGCTAAAGGCGAAGCTCCTATTAACTAGAATTTCTAATTTAAATCGAACAATAAACTTGCAATTGTATTCCACAAATCAGTTAACTTTAGAGCTCATTCATGTGACTTTGAGGGAAAGGCTAAGTTATTTTAGAGAAAAATAATTTGCAAACAGTCCAAGCTAAGAGTGAACTTAATCTTAGATCGAGTTGATAGCCCTTATATACGTACATCCAAAGAATAGCAATCATCGTCGATCACATTTAACAGCCATAATGGCTCCTGATCACAATAGATTAGGCCTGGAAAACAAATTCTTGGAAAACAAATCAGGCCGAATTTTTTGCGTTCGACAAGTTTATTATTTACTTTACAAAATCTTGCCAACAAGTCTGGGGACGTGTAAACCAACCTTTTATACTTTTTATACTTCACATCTGAGGTGAAACAGTACCATGAGGCGCTGTTTTTATCATACAGACCTCGGACAGAATGCAGTATTTCACAATTTTGCAATACAAATTGCACTCACTCCCCGGACTCACTCAAGATTCAGGACGATCGAGGCACGCGTGTGCTTTTACTAAAAAAATTTCCAAAATCACCTACATATACGGCGAGCCGGTTCTCACTTTTGTCAAGCGCCAAAGTCGACAGTTTAAATCAAGATTAATAGAGTTATACGCTTCAACGTGATAAAGAATTTATTATGTTTATTTTTTGTTTAATGGTTTTATAACAATGTGTAGTCTTCTTCGTTTGATACGCGCGGCATTTTGAGCACTCCTGCAAGCGATGTCCATGAGCGACTGAAAACAAACGACACAGCGATTAAAATTACAAAAGAGACCACTAACAATCAATTAAAGGAAAATAATTCGGTGAAACATATACAGAGACAACAATTTTCATTTACGAAGACAAGTATTAAAGTGTCTCTGAAAATCCTTGTTTATGTTTTAAGCCGGCTTCCCGGTGTTTGCTTTTTTCAAAGATGAACTAGAGGCAAGAAAATTGCTCAAAGCTTTCTTTTACAGCCAGAATTAGAGCTAAATATTCTGTGAAACGTTTTCTTTCTGTTGCGGTGAGAAAAGTCTAAATGCTTTTTAAAGTTCTGTAAGCTTATAATCAAACCTGATACTCGGTCGGTTCATTGTCTCAAATCTTACCAACGTGCATAAACTAAATAGCCGCATAAACAGCGCCCGACTTCATTAAATTAGATATAAAAAACAAACACCAAATACAATAATTACTCAGGCTTACCATTCGAGATGCACTGAAAACTATCAAGTAAGGCCAGAATCGCTTCAGACTTTTCAACCCTCTTACGCATCAAGCAAGGTGAAAAACGAAAACGATGTCATCCGAAATCAGATTTCCGACTTTGTCAAGCGACGTATTTCTCAACCAAAACCCCAATAAACAAACTAGCTGTGAATAACAGAAGACTCTTAAAGCTTCTTGATATATAGCAGCAGAATTTCATTTTGTACATCCAGTGGAAAAAGACAATTAAAAACATCACAAGCTGACACAAAACTGTCAGCTTCAGCTCTCAAAGTAAACAAGTTTCAAGATGCTGCATAAATTTTCCGCATGAACTCACCTGTCAAATTTTGACCAAT